GTGTGTGTGTGTGTGTGTGTGTGTGTGTGTGTGTGTATAAAGAGACATATAAATATAATGTATAAAGAGACAACGTTGTCAGGTAATTCAATATGCTTGTACAAGAACAAATACTTCTTTCTGTTTAACTTGAATCGAAACGTCTGCAATCGTTCAAAACCCCTTCCAAACTGTCAAAACTGAACAGAAACACTTTCTTGCTTTAACTAAAAAGCTAAAGGTACTTTTAGCCTTTCCATTCGTTGTCATTTCATTATAAACTTTGACATGAAGCAGAGACAAGCTATGCATTATAGACTGAGTGTGAAAATGAAATTTAGTGCGTTTTTGGTGGATTAATTTCTCAGACAAGAGCTTTACAAACATGCAAGTGTGCTGGAGAATTTATGTCTCCAATGCAGACAAATCTGCATGTTTCCTTTCACTTTCAATGTCATTTGGGAAATGCCGCAGCAGAAAAGAGTGCCTCGGTTTGAAGTGAAATCTGTTCATGATGGTGTGTTTTTAATCACAAATTCAAATKAAGTTTTGAATGGAAATGTTTTTGGATTTTCAGAGAGAGAGAGTTGCAAAAGAGAGAGGTAGAAAAGGCATTYTGAGGTAAACGCAGGCAAATATGCCACCACACTGACACGAGCTGTCTTATATTTATTACATTAAAAGCTCTCAAAAGTGTTTTTCACACATATCACATCAAAACAAGCCCAAAGTTTTAGAGAGGCGTGACCTGACGCCACCTTTTGTGTATCATTCAGCAGACACGTTGAAACATTTCTCTCATTTTGTTTCGCTTGTTTTTCTGCTTTTTCCACCCTTTTTTTCCTTTCCTTTGTGTGTGTATGTGTGCTGTTTTCTCAGCTGCCCTCCATCGCTGCTCTCGCTGAGGCAAATGGCTGCTGAAAAGATAATGGAATGTCTTCTGGCCCGGCCCGGCCCCTCCATCTTCTGCCGCTCTGACACCACGTCGGGAAATTAAAAGAAAGAGAGAAAAAGGCGAGGTGGCGGGAGAAGACGCAAGGGAGGTGAAGGGAAGAGATAGAGGGACTGGAGGGGAGGCCGAGCACCCCTGTGTGTACGTGTGCCGGTGTGCATTAGTGATCAGGGTCAGTGCACGGCGCTGAGCTCAAGGGCTCTCACAAGGGATACAAGGATCAGGTTGAAGAGGCTGAGTGAACTGCAGTTTAAAGTGTAATCAGTTTCCTGACTGTAGCAGACGACCCAACAATGACCGCTGGAGTCTCTCKCAGTTGTCCAGAGGTTGGAAATAATTAGGATCTTACTCTGAACATGTTCAGTCAACTCTGCTCCACATAAACAATGTTCTTAATTTACCAGGGGAGATGATATGTGCGCTGGCGTAAATACCTTGGAGTTAGCAATGTTCAAAACACTTGTAATGTATGAGAAAAAAATTTAAAAAGATTGGATTTTTAAATTAGAGAAAATGCATTTTCACAGAAAATACAGTGTGAAAGATGAGGGCTGAACAACTGAGGACATGTTGAAAATGAATTCTTGTTAAATAGAAAACAAGGAGTGAAGTTAAGCAGAAAAAACGCAACTAAAAGATGAAATTAGCAAAAATCTTAGCTAAAAGCTAAAATCCACAAAACTGAATAAAATTTAAAATCAGCATAACAATAGATAAAAGCTAAAAGTAGCTAAAAGCTACCATTAACCAGCCATTAGGGTGGCTATGGAGCAGTGGAAGGGCAGGTGACAGGTTCCATTCCCCACCATGCTAAAATGTCACTGTGTCCTTGACCTACATCAATTACCTAACTTAAATACAGAGGAAAAATTTTGCCATTGTATAAGCACTTACTGCTTTCAATGAACAAAACTGTAGCTAAAAGCTAGCATCAATAAGACTTTCACAAATGTGATGCAGTACATCCAAACCTGTGGCACAAACACAAGACAAAAGCCATGATGGAGGCCATTTCTTTTAAAAGATAATATACTGTATATATATATATATAAACAAAAATATATGCTTAAATTTGCCCCTTTTTTCTTTCAGATACTATGTTTTCTTAAATATTTGTTATGATAATTTGACCAACTCACAAACTTCTCCTTTTGGTCCTTGCTGAGGCCGATGAAGGAAACCCTGTAGCTCGCCACATTGGGGTCATCCATCTCCCACGATGCATCCAAACTCTGAGTGGTCTCGCCACTCAGGTAAAGGTTTTTCACAGCCTTCCGCTCCACTGTGGGAAAACAGGAATCAGTTACTGCAGGACAATGTGCATTACTGCATTACGTAACATTCTGAAACTCAAAGCAGCAGCGCCTCTGATGGACCTGGCCACCTGTCCCGGGTGTACTCCACCTCACTAACAGTTTGCCCCAAAATCGAGCAGGTAAAGAAAATGGTTAAGTTAAATCTTGTTTGTAATTCTTTAAAATGATCATCTTGGACAAAAATCTGCACTCATCCTTCTTTTGCAGTGTACAATGACTTTTTTTGCAGTTAAACTCTAGCTTTTCAGTCATTTGCGTTTGTAGCAGCCAGTTTAATTTAAGGCTATATGGGAAATGTTTCATTATATATGGCACAGCCTTCTGCTGGATCATCGCACAATTCATGTGATTTTGAGAACTTAATAATCCAGGATAAATAATCATTTGGCCCACCACCTTCCATGCCAAAGTTTTAGACTAAAATAGTGTTATTGTGGAAACTATGTAACCACTTTAGTCAAAAACAAATGAAAACAACATGAAGTGCAACTTAATGCAATACTCATCTTCAAAGTGTGTTGGGAATGACTCTCAGTCTCAATTATCACCCATTTTTGCCATTCAGCAGTGGGCAATGATAAAAAGCAAAACATAGGTTGAAGATTTTATGACACCAAACAACAAAAAACTGTTATGTCCAGAAACAATACGCTGTTTTAAAACGCAAAAGATTATTGGAAAAGTTTAAGTTAAAAACCTTTTTTGAGTTCTAAAAAGGAATTAATGAAAAACCTCATGGCTTACTACATMATTAGCTACTTCTCAGTCCAGAAGGCCTTCAAGTTGCCTCTGAAATGAACTCTGAACTTAAGTCTCTGGATGGATCAGCAGGGTGACTCAACTTTCAACAGAGAATGTTGTCAGTGTTTCCATTTTGTGTTTACTAATCATTTAATTTTCCTTTGTAAAACTGAATAAGAAGTAACAGGCAACAAGCTGCAGCACGCGGTATACTTTCTAGAACTGTAGTACTTTGGCAACATTAGTATGTACTGGCAGCGTTAGAGCTTTTCAAAATTTAATGGCAATAGACTTCCTTGACAGATACCTTGGCCGGAGCCATGATTAAACTTGGCCAGTCTTTCTGCAAGGATAATTTTTCAAAGAACAGAGTGGAATTAGCCTTCTGCCCACTGGACACAGGCTGGCAGGATTATTAAAACAAAAGCTCTTACAGTCTCACCTCGCTGGAGATTGAAAAAAAAAGAGATTGCGCTGCACGTTTTTTAGTTAATGTGAGAAGTCGTGTTGAGTCACGGTTAGTCGGGTCAGTTTCTGACTGTTTTTATACACGTAAAACACGGAGTGTATCATATTCCCTGACATTTTGCAGTTCCACARTTTGAACACTTTTTACCTGTAGTCGGCGTTGGCATCGTGGCCACTGGGGAAATACAGAGAGAAGAAATCAGATAATCAAATACAAATGCTGCTAACCAACAGTCTGTGTAAATAAATAAGCCAATAAGGAGGGAATGTGTAACAAATCGTTGGTAACAAAATAGATTGTTTTTTTGAAGGGAAGCCAAATGATTAAATCAGTGCAAATATCTTAGTGTAAAACTGTTCAATAACTTAAACTGTACTTTCTTTTTAAAGTAAACACATTGTGTTTTTAAATTCGTCCTTCTCACATTTAAATCATTCAGTTGGGGTCTATAKAAAGTGGAACTGAAATGCTGAATTCCTCCTTATTGTAACTCCACAAGCCCCTCTTTCACCCCTTTTCTGAGGTGTTTCTCGTTTTGAGGCTGTCTCTTTGAATCCAAACGAGGTGCTTTTCTCTCTCTCTCTCTCTCTCTCTCTCTCTCTCTCTCTCTCTCTCTCTCTCTCTCTCTCTCTCTCTCT